TTGTGCTTGCCAGGGAAGCACTTATTCCACCAAGCCATCACCCTGGCCCCTACCAAGGCATCACCCCAGCCCCTACCAAGGCATCACCCTAGCCCCTAACATTATAATTTTATTAATTTTATAAAAAAGCAGAAGTGTTGATGCTACAGGTAGAAATGATCAAGAAGTTTTGTTCTTTCTTCCCAAATATGAAACTCACTATTCCTAGTATATTGTGCATTGATTCATTATACAAACTTCAAATTATCACCCCCCACATTGGCTTGACGTTTGAGTTTCGATTTGAAGCTTTATCAGAAGCATCCTGACATTTATAATAAGTCACTGGATTGAAAATAAAAGCACAAATAGCTAGTATTCAAGAAGACCTGATGTATCTTTATATTCATGTGATCCTTTGTCATGTATTTTGTCATTATATTTGCGAGAAATTCAGGACATACATTATACCAAATATGTATACACTTTACTCAGAAGGTTGAGACAGAGAAAAAAAGGAGCTTAGAAAGAGATGGGTAGGACATAGAGTTGATATATATTTTGGGAAAAATACTGAGAATCAAAATATGGATTTGGCCAGGGCGATAGCTCAGTGGCATAAGTGTCTGCCTGGCAAGTGCAAGGTCCTGAGCTCAATCTCTGACACAAAATAAGTATCAACATATAGATTTTCATATATTCATAGCTCTGCTCCCTGAGTGAGATAGATAGTACTTCAGTAAATAAAGTAAGAAAAACATGAATATGTTGTATCTTTTTGGGTGATTGAAGTTTAAGTGAAATTACAACATGAAGTGGGCTTTTGGTGAACATTTTCTAAACAAAGTAAAATTTGGAAATATACATTAAAGGGCAAGACTAAAATAAGAGCATTTCTGAAAATTAAAACAAGTTAAAAGAGTTTGTGAATGTCAGTATTTTTATTCTAAATTTGAATTACTATAATTATATCAAAGGTTCAGCTTTCCTGCTGCCCAACGCAATGATCCAGAGTATTTTAGATGTGAGAGTGAGATTCCCTAAAGCTAGAGTGAATCAGCCAAGTCCAGCAACTTGAGCAGCGTAGATGCAACCCTGCATTTGAAGCTAGGTGGTCAGCTTGAGGCGCTGAAACTACGGGTGGAGCAGATTCCCATGGAAACAGGCGTCTGTGTACAGTTGCCAGTAACAACAAGCTGGCCTTTATCCCTGTGATGCACAAGACACACAGGGTGCAGCCTGGAACTAACTCAATGAAAAGAGGGTTTCACAGGATGCAGAGCAGGAGAATGTGAGTTACTTGGCCAGAGAATGTAAGTGGAGAAGGATGGGAAAGAGAAGTTCCTTAGAATCAACCTCAGAGCCTCATCAGCAGAGAGCTCATCCAAGTGACTGGTCTTCTCTCCCTTGAGTGTCACTGTGAAAATATGCTCCGTATGAAGAAGATGGTAAAGTAAGGGGGTAAACTAGACCACAGAGTAGGAAGCTTTGGTATGAGGAAATTAAATTTGTATTCAATCATCATATGAGGAAGAAGGGCATGACAATTTCCATCCAGGTTTTGAGGCAGAAAATCCGTGACTCTTAAACATCTAGGGACCTCGTCATCCTCCTTACACATCTGTCCAGTGAGGACAGTAATCAATTCTCTGGAAACCCACGGGGAAGAAAAGCCATGACGCTACTAATTCTTTGGCAGTTTGTCTTCTGTTTTCTGCGTATTAGTTTTTTCAAAGCACACAGTGCTTGTGTTTCTCTAATAGTTCTCTTTATTGATTCTCCATTTCTGTCCAGATAAAGACTTTGAAGGAGACATTTCCCCCAAGCCTATCATTTTTCTTCCTTCAGTGGCTGAAACAAATTTCCATAAGGCTGGGACATATCTCTGTCTTCTGGAGAACTTTTTTCCAGATGTTGTCAAGGTATATTGGAAAGAAAAAGGTGGGGATACAGTTCTGGAATCCTATCAGGGAGATACGATGAAGATCAATGACACTTATATGAAATTCAGCTGGTTAAGCGTGACTGGAGACTCAATGGATAAAGAGCACAAATGTATTGTGACTCACCAGAATAACAGAGGAGGAGTTGATCAGGAGATTCTGTTTCCAGCCATAGAAAAAGGTATGTGTACATAAATGTGAATATTACCCTCAGAAAACTTATTTGAAAGAGAACATACCACATTTCTTATTAAGTATTAATAGTAAATATAATTCTTTTTTAAATATCATCAAATTTAATGGTAGCATTTTATGAAATTTTCCCATAAAATTAATATGGTAAAAGTTTGAGAAAACAAATGAAAAATTTTGGTTAAACTTCATCAACTTCAGTTTCACCATTCGAAACATTGAGGTTTTTTAGAATTGTTGTTTGAATCAAATAAAGTATCGTATTTTGGATGCACCTAGCAATGAAGTACAGGATAAATGTTAGTCAGAAGTTTCTACTTTTGATAACTCTATTTGGTTTAGGAAGAAAGAGAAATACATATCTTTAGGGATAATTTATCTAGTAAGCAAAGTCATTCACTTCTACCTTGATATGCTCCATGCTTAATCTACAGACAAAGAGTTATTTAAAAAATGGCACTCAGACTAAAGATTCTGAAGCTGGTCTTACAAAAAGTGAGAGTAATGCTGGCACAGTACTTTGGTGGTGGTGTGGACATTTTCTGATTTTTATTTCAGGATTGGACACAAGCAAAGATTGGTGAGGCTAATGTGTCTGAGCAGATTTCCCGTCCCCAAGATGGGTGGATTCTTGCCCTTGGTAAAACCAGCCACACTAACACTGTACTGCTGGCCTCTGCTGGGCCTAAATGGGAATAAGCATGGGGAGGGCAGGATGAGTTAGTGTCCCTGGGACGCTGGATGTACTACAGAAAAGAGAAAAGGATATTTTACTCATCACTGAGAGTCAGGAGCAGGTTAGGCCAGTGTCCACAAGGAGACCATCTCATGTAGTGAAGTACGTGTCTGTAGGGCAGACAGAGGGCAGGATACGCAGAGGGCCCAGCAGGGCCCAGTAACTTACACTGCATCCCAACTAGAGCGTTAAAACATTGCCGAGTAACAGGGAAGGCAAATACCCAAGAGATGAGGCTATGAAACTGCTCCACTGAAGTGTCCAGTTAGATCTTGATGCTTTTAACAAAACAAAGATATACATTCCAGGGTAATGGCTATCATGTGGAGATAAGTTATAGTTTTACGATGTTTTTCTTGACATTAAATCTAAAATAAGTGTCTTTCCTATGCTTTTCATGGCAATCAAGTAGAGTAAGTCTTTCTTATTAATGCCACTAAACAGAAAATTTATAATGCTGCTGTCAGGGATTTTTTAAATCAAAAGTATACTTAGCATACTTATAAATACTTAGCATAAATCTACATTCTATTATTCACATCTGTAATTTATTCTTTTTCCTCATTTCTTGGCAATAATAATCATTCATTTTTAGTGAAAAAAGTTCCCTGCAGAGAAAAATAGATTTTACAGATCCAGTAAAGTCAGTTCTTAAAATTTTAATCAAAGCATAATCATATTAATATTTTAATCTGTGAGCCTTACTCAAAAACCTCACCATCCGATCCATTTTTAATAATTTACCATTCAATAAATTTGCAAAACAGAAGCATATTCATATGAAAAGGAACACTTCTAGCAGAAAAAGAGTAAACCCAAAAAATAGTTAAGCTTCTAGTTTTTATCCATTCATTTATAAATATTAATATTCATAATACTTTTTCTT